CCTTGAGAAGAAGTAACAAAGAATAAAGAAGGGCCTAACAACTAAATTGATCCAGAAACTAACAACCATGTGGAGAGGGAGGCCACAGCTCATCCACGATGGGTCTCTGTTGTGGAAATCATCCCCATTGTCCAAGCTTACCTTCTCCCATCATGGCGTCTTCCTTTTCAGTCTCTACATGTGATCCTTGGCGTTTGGATGAGATGTGGATGTGATTCTTTTGACCATTGGTCTGGAATTCAGAAATATCTCCACTTTTTATTTCTAGAATAATGAAAAAAAAATGTGAATGTTTCTTGTTTTTTAGATAAAATGACATTTTTTTATTTGCAAACGTGCCCTAAGGGTTAAGGTGTTCCTCTTGTACGCCCTCACAAAATGACTGTGATATACACATGCAATAGAATTCACATGATATATTGAGAGCTTAAGGAATAATGAAATACAATCCCATATACTGACCAGCAACTTTAAGGTTGGTTCAGTAGCCATATACAGTAAAACTAGCCACCAAATAGGACTACTGAACATTTGAAATATGACTAGCTTAAATTACGATGTGCTGTAAGTGCAAAATATACACCTGATTTTGAAAAACTGTAAAATACCTAATATTCTTATAGTTATTACATGTTGAAATAACTTTTGATAGATTAAGAGGATACTAGAAAATTACATCATGTGCCTCATATTTGTGGTTCATGTTATATTTTTACTGGACAGAGCTGGTATGGAATGTTACAATACTCTTTTTACCTTTTATTTTGAAATAATGATAGATTCACAGGAAATATAAGGGATGGTTCATGCATCCTAAACCAGCCTTCTCCACTGTTAACAACCCAAATAACTATAATATGGTATCGAAACCAGGAAATTGACATGGGTACAATCCATAGAGCTCATGAAATTGTGTGTGCTTTTGACTGAAGACTTCTATTTCTTTTAATGTTTTATTTATTTTTGGAGAGAGAGAGACAGACGGGGAGAGAGAGAGAGTGACAGCGCATATGAGCATAAGAAGTGGAGGGGCAGAGAGAGAGGGAGACACAGAATCCAAAGCAGGCCCCAGGCTCTCAGCTGTCAGCACATAGCCCTGAGCGGGGCTTGAACACAGGAACCATGAGATCATGATCTGAGACAAAGTCACACGCTCAACTGACTGAGCCACCCAGGTACCTTGAAGAATCTACTTTTGACTGATGAGATGTTTATATTCTATTCACTTATTTATTAACTACATTAATCAAAAATATATTTACATTGTTCATGCCAGGAACTATTCTAAGCAATAGAAAGACAATGAGTAATAAAGATCTGGTACCTGATCTTATAGAGCTTTTATTCTACTTTGGATAGCAGAGGATAAACACATAAATTTGTAATGTAATGTCAGATGCTGCCAGGCCATGGCATATGATCATTTTTCTCAAGGAAAAGCACTTTTGTGATTGAGTTTAGCTCAAATAGCTGATTTTTTTTCATGTAACACCATTTTTAGACTAAAATAACTTGGAAGAACGAAAGACAGATTCTGGCTATTCATTCTGGGGTATCTGGCAGATTTTTAAGTGAATGAAGCGAGTCTGTAACTTGTATGAAACAATTGATAATATTTGTTGCCAGTGATAAAATTCAAGCTTTCATGGGAGATTTAGAATTTTTGACTTCTATCAACTACAAATTTTGCATATTTCTAATTCTTAAAGTTTAATATTGATATTAACAAATGCAGTTTTTAAAAAATTGCAGAATGCAATATATTAGCATTTGGAACATCTTTGTAACTCAGTGAAACAATATTTTCCAAATAGCTAACACATATTTCAAAATCATGCATGGATAAGTCTCCACTCAAAGTATATGATAGATTAATTTTCATGTAACGGACTGTAAGAGTACATTGTGATGTACCTTTAAGGAACCATCTCTTGGCCAGTTTGGGTGTACTATCAAATAGGATTATCTGCGATTATCTATGAAGGCTATTAAAATACTCTTCCTCTTCTACTATGTATCTTTGTGAGGCTGGATTTTCTTCATATACTTCAGTCAAAACAATGCATTGCAGCAAATATAATACAGAAGCTGTTAAGAGAATCCAGCTGACTTTTTTAAAAAAAATTTTTAATGGTTATATATTTTTGAGAGAGAGAGAGAGAGAGAGAGACAAGAGCATGAGGAGGGTGAGGGGAGGAGAGGGAGACACAGAATTACAAGCAGGCTCCAGGTTCTGAGCTGTCAGCTGAAAGCCTGACATGGGTCTCTAACCCACAAACCGTGAGATCATGACCTGAGCAGAAGTTGGATGCTTAACCCACGGAACCACACAGGCATCCAATGCTGACTTTTCTTAAGCAGACATTAAAGAGTTCTATAAAAGTGCCATTTTTGTCATTATCTATATTTGAAAACATCATTTAAAAAATGTTTTTTGTTTGTTTGTTTGTTTGTTTGTTTATTTAAGAGAGAGAGGAAGAGAGGGAGAAAGACATAGAATCCCAAGCAGGCTCTGCACTGTTAGCACAGAGCCTGATATGGGGCTCGAACTCACGAATTGTGCGATCATGACCTGAACTGAAATCAAGAGTCAGATGCTTAACTGACTGAGCCACCCAGGTGCCCCCAAACATCATTTTTGAAATTAAAAAAAAAAAAACTGTTAATTATGTTAACATATAATGCATGTATTATTATACATATATATATATATTTTAATTAATGTTTATTCACTTTTTTTGAGAGAGAGAGAGAGAAAGAGAGCGAGAAAGCAGGGGAGGGGCAGAGAGAGGGAGACAGAACCAAAGCAGGCTCCAGGTTCTGAGCTGTCAGCAAAGAGCCCGACGTGGGGCTTGAACCCACGAACTGCGAGATCGTGACCTGAGCCAAAGTCGGACACTCAACTGACTGAGCCACCCAGGTGCCCCAATTATTGCTATTTTAAACTAAATAAGTAAATTTTACATTTTCTCCTTTAATTTCTAATTTGGAAATATTAGTAGATGAACACACATTGACAAATCTCTTTGGAGTTTTCAATAATTACTGAAAGTGTAACAAGGTCCTGAGATCAAAATTTTATAATCTGTTGACACAGACTGTGCAGCTGAATCAGAGAATAGTGTCCCATGATGAAGATGGGGAATGATACTTTTTATGCTAAAGTAATGGATGTTATAAGGAAGATATAAAGAAAATAAAAAGCAGAAAATGCAAATTACTCATATAGAACTGATTACGTGCATTTCACCCCCCACACCCATTGCTAATTACTATACATTTTTTTCATAAAGTTCCTCATGATCTCTTTACATTTTTGTAAAGAAAGTTAGGAGTCTGCATCCAGTCAGGAAAATGTGGGAATTTAATATAGCAAAAAGTGTCCACAGATAGTTGAAAAAGCAAAAAAGAGGATACTGAGGTAATGACATGTTAGTAATGGTAGGAAAATCTTCCTCGATAGCTGAGGAACAAAAGGGAAGAGATGGGGTGAGCAAAGCAGAGCTTAGTGGGAGGTCCCAGCATAGCTGGTGGGCTTAGCGCGCTCTCTCTCTCTCTCTCTCTCTCTCCCTCTCTACACACACATACACACACACACACACACACACACACACACACACACACACACACACACTCCGTTAGATTTTAAAGCAAAGACCACAACTTGCATTCAACAAATCATAGTGGACAGGATGAAATCCCATTCTTCTTGAGAAAAACAAGGTGTCCTTGAGTTTCCTTGCAGTTTGTCCAGCCCCACCACGACAGGGAGAGATATCAGGCTGATGCTTGGTTCAAAATAAAGAGGGCATCTCCTGGAACCTCCCTCCCTGGCATCTCTCAGGAAATCCAAGCATTGTGAACCTTCTAGTAGTGGCACCAGACTTCGTTCTCTTTCCTTGCTTTATTTTGACTTTCTCTGTTTGCTTCACCTCTTTTGTACTCACTCTTGCCTATCACTTTGGTTTCCTACCATCTCCTAATATCACAAATGTTTCGTCCACTCATCTGATGGGGTGGAGAAAGGGATCCAGTACCCGGTCTGCACCTGTATCTCTCATCCTCTAACAGCAGAGTAGAAAGAAAGAAGCCTCGGGGCGCCTGGGTGGCTCAGTCGGTTTAGCGGACGACTTCGGCTCAGGTCAATCTCACGGTCTGTGAGTTCAAGCCCCGCGTCGGGCTCTGTGCTGACCGCTCAGAGCCTGGAGCCTGTTTCAGATTCTGTGTCTCCCTCTCTCTGACCCTCCCCCGTTCATGCTCTGTCTCTCTCTTTCTCAAAAATAAATAAACGTTAAAAAAAAAAAAAAGAAGAAAGAAAGAAGCCTTTTTCACAGAACTTGTTTCCTTCAGTGATTCTCCATGTATCCAGCCTACACAAAAAAGATCTGCTTCTGGAAAAATGTCCAAGAACATGATTTCCACACTACTAGTGAGGAAAAAAAAAACCCACCAAGCATTCTCTTCCCTCTTTTGAATGAGAAGAGAGCATTCCCAGCTGAGTCTTGAACTTACTTTTTGGAAGATTACCTGGGCAGGGGAACATAGTGTTTGAAAGAGAGTGGGGTATGGAGCCACACTGGCTGGCTGTTTCCTGATTGTGTGACCTTGGGCAAGTTAGTTAGCTGTTTTGTACCTCATGGTCCATCTCCATAACACGGATATAGTATTTAGTACCTACTTCATAAGGATGTTGTAAAGATTAAATAAATTCATGTGTATAAAGTACTTAGAACCTGGCCCATGGTGAATATTCAATAAGCATGAGCTTCCATTATTATTGCTATTATTATTTAAGATTAGGCAATCTTTGACTCTACTGTATGAACTGAATAATTTGGTTCCATGTGGTATACTGTGTTGCAGTTTCATAAAAATTTCTCTTTGGGGAAAGTAAAAGAAATGTTAATAGAGTATACATGATGATATTTCCACCTCCCCTGATATTTTCATACTGAAAAACTATCTACATACTTCTGCTTTTGCTTTTCTTAAACCAACAGCACACCAGACAGCATAGAGCCAGCCATGAGGCCACTGAGCACAGGGAAACAGCCAAGATGATGGTTGACTTCTCTGACATGGTTGCAGGTGAGACAACAAATGACTTTGATCGAGCTGTAAAATTGGCCCCTGTTAAAAAAAAAATCCCAATGATAACATATTAATAAGATGTAAGATGCTGATAGGATAAAAATATTGTGGAAGAGATATGTTTATAATACCTGCCACTTAGTAGGTCCAATAAATATTTGTTGAATTAAATAATTAAATGAACCAATAATAAATCCAAGATCCACATATCTGAAGAACTACAAGAATCCAATTGCAACAATAACATACAATTGTTCTTTCCAATTCTCTCCATTGCTGAGGGGACATTCTTCCAATTCTCCCCTTTTATTCTCAGACTTACCTTTTCCCCCAATGCAAAATTTCAATTTCACTCTTATGTTCCACTAATTAGAACAGAAATGCTCTCAGCTCTAGAATGTGTGAAATCACTTGCTCTGACATATGTATCCTATTTAAAAAATGGCATGTAACACATCAAAACAGAGCAATGGGGACTCCTACCATGGAGCCAAGAGAATTTCTAATGTCCATGAGAATTTTGTTATCTGGAAAAGTGGGAGGAGGGTAGTGGCAAATAGATAGAGCCACTTTAGTTATGAAGCTGGGGAAAAATGGGCAACTTCCTTTAGAGACAGCATTTTCCTAAGAATTCATCTCAAATCCTTTAATAGACTGAAAAATTTGGTTCTCACTCCATTATTATTTTTGAAATAATTTTGAAATAAAGCTTTAAAAATTCTAAAAAATTAAAAGCTGGGGCGCCTGAGTGGCTCAATCAGTTAAGCGTCTGACTCTTGGTTTCAGCTCAGGTCATGATCACATGGTTCATGGGTTTGAGCCACACATTGAGCTCTACATTGACAGTGCATGGCCTGCTTGGGATTCTCTCTCTGTCTCTTCCCTACAAGTGCATGTGTGTGCTTTCTCTCAAAATAAATAAATAAGTTTAAAAATAAATAAAAGCTTGCTTATACACAAAAAAATTTGTACATAAATGTTTATAGTATCTCTATTCATAATCACCCAAACCAAGAAACAACCCCAGTGTTTTCAACACAGAAATGAATAAACCAACTATGGTTTATCCAGACATTGAAATACTACTTAGCCATAAAAGGGGAAAATAATAAGGAACAAAAATAGGAAAGGAGGGAGTGAGAGAGGAAGTAATAAAGCCAGGCAGGCAGGCAAAGGAAAGAAAGAAAAAGAAAAAGAAAAGAAAAAAGGAGGGAGGGAAAGAAATTAAAGAAAGAAAACAGAAAGAAAGAAAGAAAGAGAAAGAAAGAAAGAAAGAAAGAAAGAAAGAAAGAAAGAAAGAAGAAAGAAAGAAAAAAGGGAATAAAGAAAGAAGAGAAGAAAGAAAGAGAAGGGAAGAAAGAGAAAGGAAGAAGGAAGGAAGAGGGAGAGAGTGGGAGGGAGAAAGAGAGGGAGGGAAGGAGAGGAAGGAAGGGAAGGGGAAGGGAGGGAGGAAGAAAGAAAAAGGAGAGGATGTAGGGAGGGAGGGGGAGGGAGAGAAAGAAAGAGAAAAAGAGGGAAGAGAAAAAAAGGAAAGGAAAGAAAAGGGAGGAAGGAAGGAAGATAGAGTGGGAGAGAGAAAGAGGGAGGGAGGGAGAGAGGAAGGAAGGGGGAAGGAAGGAAGGAAGGAAGGAAGGAAGGAAGGAAGGAAGGAAGGA